ACAGAACTTAAGCTTAAGGAATTGAATGAACAGGGGAAGGACCATGGTTTAGTATAGAGAAGTAGAAGGAGAATGAGTAGATAAGAAGAAAAATAAAAAAATAATAAATAAATAAATCGTTAAGTAAACAAAACATTTTAATTTATTCACCTATTTTTGGAAAAGGAGAATTGAGAAGAGAGCAGATAGGCTTGAGTTTAGTGAGTGAAACTAATTGAGCAATTAGGAGAAGAAGAGAGCAAGAGAGGAAAAACAAAAGCATTTTTAAAATTGGATAGCGAAAAAAGATAAAAGAGAAGGGTGCATGGACATGGAGCAGGGGTGAAGAAATTAGATATGAGTAAGCCAACAGAGACTACAATAATAATAATGTCAAGAAAGCAGATAAAGAAGATCAATTTTTAACAAGGGGTAAAATGAAAGAAAACGAAAGGCGAGAGAAAAACTAAAGCGGGGACAGGAGAAGAGAAAAAAATGAACAAGGGACAAGTACCCTGGCTTGTTTGGCTCAGTGAATAGAGCATCAACCTGCAGACTGAAGAGTCCAGGGTTCAATTCCAGTCAAGGGCACATGCCTGGGTTGAGAGCTTGATCCTCAATGGTAGACATGTAGGAGGCAGCCAAACAGTGATTCTCTCATCGTTGATGTTTCTATGTGCCTTTCCATTCCTCTCTTAAATCATTTTTTTTAAAGAGAGAAGTAAGGAAGAAAAGGATAAAAAAAAAAAAAAAAACAACTAAGAATAAAATAATGTTTAAAAATAAAAATAGAATGAAGAATGTAAATATTTCTCTCTTTTCCACATCTAGCATGGCTAGAGAGCAGTCCACTTCCTGAGTAGGGGCTCCTGGGGATTGAGAAAATGAAAGAAAGAGACAGACACAGAGATGGAAGGAAAAATCTGGGGCTAGGTGGGACTACTGTCCTCTGATAGAAAGAGAGGGACCTAGAGCCAATACAGCATGTTTATTTTATGCAGCAAAACCCAGGAAGTTTTACCAAACGTCAAGACAAATTATGTGCCTTCTTAGGTGGGCCCGAGTTGTATTCATTCCTGGTGCTTGGCTGGATTTAGATAACGAAACCCACCCCTGTGGAGCCTGGGCTGAAGGTCAAGCTGACAACACTCCTGCCTCTGACTAGGCATGTTTCCAGGACTTGGCTCTGCCAATGCCTCTGGATTCAGCTGACAATAAAGAAATGCTAATGTGCCTTTCCAGGTACTCTCTACAGAAGAAAAATAATCCAAAAAGGAAAAGATAAAGAACAAAAATGAAAAATATTTAAATAAAAAGTAAAAAAGTGAAGTGTCGTTCACTTCAGCTGAGTTTTAATGTCTTAGGGGGGCTGGTTTAAGACCCCAATCTACTGTCTGTCTGCCACTTCCCAGTTTCCTGTTAGGTAGTCAGCACTGTGTTGAAGTTCCCAGTGATCCACTGCTCCTTTGTCTGTCTCCACAGCCTTGGTTGCAAGCAGGCAGGACCAGTATGCCCACTTTGTTTGTCTGCCTACTGTCAGACTTAATTTACTCCAGTGTCTATTTCTGACATGAGCTTTAGCGGGGGGTGTTGCTGTATTAGTTTCTGGACCAAATGGCCCCTCAACCCAGTCCTTGAGGGCTCCCTGGGGCTATTCAGAGTCTTTGTATTCTCTGTAAAGCTTGTATTCTCTATAAAGCTTGTATCCTCCGTAAAGCTTGAGGCTGGGTGCAGCTGCACTTGCTGCCCTAAGGCTGCTGGAAGGGGCTGACTCTTTTGGATAAAAATGGCTGCTTAAGTTTGGAGAGTCCAGAATGTGTCAGTGCCAGATTCCTGGTCACCTCTCTCTGTTTACTATTTCACACTTTCTCCCCAGCCTCCAGAAAACTGCACCTCCACCTGCATGGCAGCCTCAGTGAGAGTTTGTAATTGAAAGGTCCTATGAACTGGGTTTAGCAAATAAAATCAAGGACAAAACAGTTTTAAAAAATCACGCCACTGCAAATTTCTCTTCCCCCAGGAAAGGGAAAACATTAAAAAAAAAAAATCTATATAATAAAGAGGCAATGTGCTAATTGTCCTAACAGTTGTCACAGTCATGCAGACCTGTGGCACTGCCTGGCCCAGAGGGCTGTCAGCACTGGGGTGGGGCTTCAGCCGAGAGCTCTCAGCACTCCTGCACTGGGGTCTTAAGATTCAGAAAGGAAGGGAGCGCATAGGCAGTTAGGAGGTTTAGGCCAGGAGGGGAGAGAACATAAGCAGTTACAGGGATCAGACAAGGAGGGGAGAGCATTTAGGGGGATCAGGCCAGGAGGGGAGAGCAATTAGGTCCATCACTTAGGCAGGTGAGCGCTTAGGAGCCAGTGGTTCTGGACTGTGAGAGGGATCCCAGATTGGAGTGGGTGCAGGCCAGGCTGAAGGAACCCCCTCACCCCCTGCATGCACAAATTTTATGCACCAGGCCATTAGTTGTATTATAATAGTTATTAGTATTTATAATGACAACCTTTCTGAAGTCTCATTTTTACTGCTTGAGAGATCTCAGCCTTTTTTCTTCTGCATGTGTACTGACTGGCATAAACTGTTTCCTAGTATTTCCTCTGGGTCTGATTTTCTTAGAATTGTCTTCATAGTCCTTACGTTATAAGAAAATATAAAGATGAGCATTGGACATCCTTCTATTGCTTACATATTTATCCTAAACTACTCATCTTGATTTACTTCACACTCTACTTCTATACTTATCCCAAAAATTCCAAGTTTCTGACCTCATGACTGCTGTTTTCATCGTTTTTAATCTTTTCATAGATCTGTAGTAGTGCTTCTTATATATTCACTTTGCTTGTAAATGAGCCCTAGTCACACTAATAATGTGTTCTTATATGTGCCCTATCTCTGTTGGTGCTGTTTTGCTCACTGATCCTGTTCATTTCCCTCCAATGATAAATTACTTCCTAGTTTTGTCATAGAATTAATAATATTGACTTCCTGCCTAAATTTACTTAGCTATTACTTTAAAATATTATTGATATATGCTGCTTTAATTCCATTGCCTTTGGCATATTATATCTTTTGGATAGAACATAACTATTTATTGTGAAGAATGTTTTATTAATTTTCTGTATTACATTTTATCCTCACCCTATGCCAAGTGAATTTCCACTTTCCTGAGAAATGAGATCAGTATCTTATATTTAAATAGTAATAGTTTTAATTAATTAAGCACTTTCAAGCAATCTTAATAATTTGACAGTTTGTATAGGGTACATTTTATGGCATAGAATGTAATTATCTGTGAGTTCATATTCAAGTGTATATATCAACAAATACCCATTTGAACATATGTATTTCTACATTTAAATGCCAATATGCAAATTATACACATTTTTAAACATTTTCAAAGGGATATACTCTTATTATGATTGGTGTCTTAAAGTGATTTTTCTTTGAGGCTAAAATAACTGGTATTGGATATAAAGAACATCATAGGATACATGAGTATTTTTATCTTAGGAATTCTTATGAAAAAAACACTTAGATTCCTATCTTCTTCTTTAATTCCTGAAGAAGAAATATATTTTAGGAATTTTAATATAATTCTTCCTAGCATCTAAATGGGATAATGATTTTGATATCTGTGATTGATGTTATAAACTAATGAAACATTACTTGTCATAGAGTACTTTGGAAAATATGGAAAGAATTTTAGGTATCTTAGGATCACCATGATTCTGTAAGAATACTTTTGCAGAACACATTTTGATACTCTAGCTTTAGGCTTTGTCAAGCTTTAGGCAAGCAGTGACATTTTTAGCTGGGAAACTCATAATTATAAAAGTTCTAATGTCATTTAAGATATTACTGAACTCAGAGAAATAGTTTAACTGTGTGTATATATACACTAAAGGCCTGGTGCATGAATTTGTGCACAGGTGTGGTCCCTAAGCCTGGCTGGCAATCAAGGCCAATTGGGGCTGTCTCACCCAGTCCCGATTGGGGCCGGCTGATTGGGACCAGGCCAATCAGGGCCTGCCAGCCAAAGGGGAGGGAAGGGTAGAGGGATCGCAGGAGGTTGGCTGGCCAGGGAGGAGGGACCTCAGGAGGTTGGCAGGCCACAGGAGATTGGCTGTGAAAGCATACTGACCACCAGGGGGCAGCTCCTACATTGAGCATCTGACTCCTGGTGGTTAGTGCACATCATAGCTACTGGTCCACTGGGAGTTCCAGTTGTTCAGTCGTAATTGTCACTTAGGCTTTTATATATATAGATATGGTATCTGCCCTATTAACTAGAAAATAGCCTATTATATTTGAAATAAGATTTATTTGTATTTAGAGGTTTTGTATAAAAAGAATCTCAACATTGTGTTTGAAGTTGTACTGAATTCTAGTTGGAAAAATGTTTTCTTTTATTATAAATGTTTTTTTTTATTATAGATGAAACTTCTTGAACTATAAAAACAATCAAATTATAGCAAATATACATTTTAGGAAGAATATATACTTTTTAACTATAGTATATAAAAAATTCTTACAAATGGAGAATTTTTATATGACTAGATCGAATTTGAAAACTACTAACTGCCTCTGCCTCGCTCCCCTCTTCCCCCTCACCAATCAGGCAGGCAGGCAGGTTGGATATTTGCTTCTCTGCAAAGCTATATAGTACATGTGTGAAAAGCAGGAGGGAAAAAGTTTTTTTTCAAAGAGAATAGAAAAAAATCTTTAATAGTCACTATGATGCTTATTATAATTGTTCCTTTCTATTGGTATATGCATATTCCTTGAGCTAGTCATCCTGACCAATCCCTATGCAAAGTTTACTTGTTTCTTCCATTTCAGCATTCTTATCCATCCTGATTGAGGTATGTGCAGTTGAACTTCCTTATATTTCCAGGTTATATAGATACAAATAACTCATCAAACAGTGAAAAACTCAGTAAACTAGTTTGTTGTTTTTCCTTCACAAAAATTCCTAAGTTAAATAAATCACTTGCTGAATTTGTCTTTTTTTATTCCAGGGTGCTTTGGTCAGTGCAGGTTCAGATGATACACTTCATTTGTGGAACCTTAGACAAAAAAGACCAGCTATTCTTCATTCTCTTAAATTTAATCGAGAACGGTAAGAATGTGTGAGTTAAACAATTTATTAATGTACAATAAAATTATTTCCTGAACAAATTATACGTTAACTTTTCAAAGACCTTTTTCATAATCATAATAGCTAGAAATAATCTAATGTTTATGATTGTTTTATTATAGTTAATTTTTACAGAAAATTCATTGTTGATATAGATTTAGTCATCTACTAATGGATAATTCTTAACATTTTTGTTCTCCTTGTAAAAACCAGGGTTCTGGAAAGGGATCTGAGGCTGTTAAGTCACAATGTATACCTAAAAGTTAAAAAACAAAACCTTTCTTTTTATATATATATATGTCTAAAGAGCACAAAATTGATCTTCCTTTTTTTACTGCTGCATGGTATTCCATAATATAAATGTATCACAGCTTCTTTATCCACTCACCTACTGATGAGTACTTGGGCTGTTTCCAGATCTTAGCGCTTGTAAATTGTGCTGCTGTGAACATAGGGGTGCATACATCCTTTCTGATTGGTGTTTTGGGTTTCTTGGGCTATATTCCTAGAAGTGGGATCACTGGGTCAAATGGCAGTTCCATATTTAATATTTTGAGGGAATTCCATATTGTTCCATAACGACTGCATCAGCCTGCCATTATGTTTGTCAGCAGTGTACTAGGTTTCTGTTTTCTCCATAGTCTCACCAGCCCTCATCATCTGTTGATTGGTTGACAGGTATGAGTCGTTTTTGCTAAGCAACATAAGCCAGTCAGAGAAAGACAAGTATCACATGATCTCACTCATACATGGAATCTAATAAACAAAATAAATTGTTTAACAAAATAGATCCAGAAATGTAGAAGCATGGAAAAGATTGTTGAACCTCAGAGGAAAGGTGGGGGTGGGTGGGTGGGAAGAGATCAACCAAAGAACTTGTGTGCATGTATGCATAACCCATGGACACAGAGAATAGGGTAGTGGAGACCTAGGATGGAGGTGGTGGGGAGGCAGGATAAGACAAACATAAGAAAAAATATATCCTTGGGTGAGGATTAAAAAAAAAGAGAGCTCAAAATTGAAAAAAAAATACTGATCTATTATAAACACTTCTCACCTGTGGTGGACAAATGTACAAACTTGAATTCTCTTCCAGTAGCGTGGTGCTCAGAAAACAGAAAGGCTGATTATGAAACTCCAACCTGTAGGCTGTGGATAGAGAAAGGGTGTCATTTGGGCCTATGGGCCAGTGCTTAGTTATCTCAATTGAGGTGGATTTAATTGGAAGTAATATAAAAATGCAAGTTGACAGATTTTTCTCCCTAGCTGACCAGATTATTCTATAAAGGTTGATTAGTTCCTGTTGGTCAGTAATTAGTGATTTATTCTTGCTTCCCACATGGCCTTCACTAACACAATTCTGTCATTCAGAAATTAAATATTCTATGAAATTTTTAAACTTCATTTTTATTATTGTCGCTATTATCGATGTCCTCATTCCAACTCCCTGTCCTTGCCCACCTCCACCCAACCCCCACACTCCCTTCCCTCTGGCCATCACCACACTATTGTCTGTGTCTATGGGTTATACATATATGTTCTTTGGCTAATCTCTTCTCCTTCTTTCATCCAGCCCTCTCCACCCCCCAACAGCTGTCAGTCTGTTCCATGTATCCATACCTTTGTTTCAATATATAAATCTATGAATTTAAATAAAGGTAGAAAATATTATTTCTTTTGCTGTAGGAGAATGAGAACAAACTTCTCAGAGTTTCATTTGTTAGGAATTATATCTTATTCCCTTTGAAACTGCAGAGATTAGATTTATTTTTAAAAGTTGCCTTATGTTTGATATTTTACAACTAACTATAGACAACAAAATTGAGCCAGTTGTTTTTTTTTTTCCTGTCTTGTTTCTTCATTAATAGCCCATTAGTACTGTGAATGAAATTCAACTAAATTTTTACTTATCTGTTTTATTTTGTCTCTTGTGTTACAGTTCCAGCTGAATACAATATTGTACAAAATTTATCAGATGCTTTTCTTAAAGAAATTTTATATATTTTTCTTACGATTTGAGGTTTTTTCATAAAAATTCTTAAGTTTCAGTCTTTGATTCAAGATTCTGAGGGGACCCTAGTGTAGCTTATTATCATTATAATTATCATCAGCTGTTTTTAGATGACTACTTAGTGCCAATGCATTACCCCCACTATTAACTTACCAATTTAGGTTCTCATTCTGAAACTTGAGAGTAAGCAGGAGTCAGCCTCAGAACAGTGTTCCTTATAATGTAGTTTATAGATTATTTGTATAAGAATCACCTAGAGCTGTGGTCGGCAAACTACATCTCGTGAGCCACATGCGGCTCTTTGGCCCCTTTATTTTGAAAAAGTGGTGTTAGAAGAAGTTTAACTTTAGAAAAATTGGCTCTCAAAAGAAATTTCAATCATTGCCTTGTTGATATTTGGCTCTGTTGACTAATGAGTTTGACGACCACTGACCTAGAGAAGTGCTTCCGAAACGGTAATGTGCATATGACTCACCCGAGGTTCTTCATAAAATGCATTTTCTGATTCTGAAGTGGAACATGAGATTCTAAGTCCTACTAAGCTTCCAGGGACATTCATGCTGCTGGTCTATAGACTTAACTTTTAATAGCAAGCACTAAGAATACTAGTTAAAATACTAGTCATATGTCCCATCCCATGGAGTCACAATTTGTGTAGCTGGAATCTGGGGATATGCATTTTAATGAAATATTTACTTATACTAAAGATTAAGAATTATTATATAATTTAATGGGTTTTTTTTTCTTCTTTTTAAGATATATATTTTTATTGCCAAAACCAGTTTGGCTCAATGGATAGAGCATTGGTCTGCGGACTGAAGGGTCCCAGGTTCGATTCCGGTCAAGGGCATGTACCTTGGTTGCGGGCACATCCCCAGTGGGGGGTGTGCAGGAGGCAGCTGATCGATGTTTCTCTCTCATTGGTGTTTCTAAGTCGCTATCCCTCTCCCTTCCTCTCTGTAAAAATCAATAAAATATATATTTAAAAAAATAAAAAAATATATTTTTATTGATTTTAGAGAGGAAAGGAGAGGAAGAGCAAGCTAGAAACATCAATAGTATCTGTAATGAGAGATAATCCTTGATCTGCTGCCTTCTGCATCCCCCACTACTGGGGATCGAGCCCACAACCAGGGTGTGTGCTCTTGATACTCTATCCACTGAGCCATACCAGCTAGGGCCCTATTGTCCTTTTTAAGAGTTATTAAAGAGCATGAGTAGGTCAAACTGGAAAGACTGATGATGCTCTGAAAAAAGGACTCTGTTAAATGTCCAGATTTCATGTACAGAAGTCATGGTTGCCCTGGCTATGAAACAGGCTCCCAGAGTTGGCCAGAAAGTTCATTGTGAAGATGAGGCAGAACAAACAAACAAACAAACAAACAAAAGGGAATAAGTACAGTGAATCTCTGACCTTTAAATTTTCTTTATATTACTTACATGCCAAGCATCTGAATAAAAAAGTAATTTATCATACTAAGTAGACAAACTCTCTCACAACTCTGAAATTTATGTTTTAAATGTACCTAATTTGAACTGAATATTACTAAAAAACTAAAAAACAAAAAACAAAAAACAAAAAACAAGCACAGTGTAGCTTGGTAGAAAGATGGTAATTTTACAACCAAATAAGAATAGATTTTAATTCCAGTTTTGCCATTTATTAGCTGTCAGTGCTAGACAAGTAAAAATAAAAGACTTACTTTAGTTTTCCTCTTTGTAAAACAGAAGTATATGTCTGTCTTGTAGTGCTGTTTTCAGAATTAGAAATAATATTAGTGCCTAGTTAGGTACTTATGTAATAGTGGGCATTATCATTATGGTTTTTAAAATTATACTGTTATCTTATACTCTCACTAATAACTAAATAAATGCTACTTGATAACTAAATGCTACTTGAGTATATAGTAAATTTTATTGTTTATGTAGCTATCACTACATAATAAGTTTAAGGAAAATTAATGCTATCATGCTGACCAGACATAAAGTTAGATATTTTAATTGTAATTTTCTTTCTTTCAGAATTACTTACTGTCATCTACCTTTCCAGAGTAAATGGCTCTATGTTGGAACAGAAAGAGGAAATACACATATTGTAAATATTGAATCTTTCATTCTTTCTGGATATGTCATCATGTGGAACAAGGCAATTGAACTGTAAGTTTGGACTTAAATATCACTTTATTGACATTAAATATTTCATATGGTTATGTAACATGTAAATTGTAGTTATTTGAAACATTATGGCTAATTTATGATTAATATGAGTGAAAAGTTCAGCCAAAATAATTAGAAAACATAAAGGCTTTTAAAAATAGATATTGTAGCTGGGACTGGTTTGGCTCAGTGGATGGAGCGTCGGCCTGTGGACTGAAAGGTCCCGGGTTCGATTCTGGTCAAGGGCATGTACCTTGGTTGCGGGCGCATCCCCAGTAGGGGGTTTGCAAGAGGCAGCTGATTGATGATTCTCTCTCATCGATGTTTCTAACTCTCTATCCCTCTCCCTTCCTCTCTGTAAAAAATCAATAAAGTATATATTAAAAATGAAAAAAAAGATATTGTAGTATTAACATATGATAATTTTAGAATCTCCAAATAATACAGGTAATTAGCAGTATTTATGTAAAATTTGGTGGTAAAAATATTAATTCTAAAAGTTACACGTGGAAATCATTTCATTCCTTATAATAAACCTTTGTATAGCAACTTCCATTGATAATGACAAGTGGATTATGGCCACATTTAGTTTTATGGAAAATAATCATTATCAGTTCATATACAGGGTGGGGCAAAAGTAAGTTTATAGTTGCAAGTACATGAGTTTATTTTTGTATTATTATTAATTTCTAGAGGCCCAGTGCACAAATTCATGCACAGGTGGGGTTCCTTGGCGTGGCCTGTGGGGATTGGGCTGAAACTGGCAGTCCAATTCCGCCTGCTGCTTCCACTCATCCCAGCACTGCTGCACCTGTAGTCCAGTCAGTCCTGATTGGGAGAGGCTTGTGAGTGAGCCCAGCATCCGGTGCCTGTCCTGAGGGGGGTAGAAGAGGCCAGGACATGGTTGGCCCTCGGGTGGGTGGTGGGATGCCCTTGCCATCCTGAGATCCAGGTCTGTCCTACTGATATTTATGACGGTTGTTTGGGAGCCACTTGGCGGCCACTTTTATATAGTTTCTTCCTTGGGAAGCATCTAGGGAGGGGAAGCAGCCGCGGTACCCGAGGCTGACTTCCAGGAGGCCAGAGGCACTGTTGGGATTGTGCTGTGCTGGTGGCACTGGTCCATTGGTGTCTGGTCCATTCTCCAGAGATTGGACCTGCAAGACTACTTAGGGAGTGAGTGGCTGCTGCTGGGGTGGTGGGCTGCCAGGATGGGTTGGTTAGCTGAGCAGCACTCCCGCTGTGGGAGCACACTGACCACTAGGGGGCAGCTCCTGCATTGACCACTCTGTGCCCTGGTGGTCATTGTGCATAATAGCAGGAGCACATAATAGTTTATTATATATATATTAGAGGCCTGGTACACAAAATTAATGCACAGGGGGCTGAGTGAAAGGGCAGGGGTGTCCTCAGCCCAGCCTGTACCCTCTCCAATCTTGGACATCCTTCTCACAATCCAGGACTGCTGGCTCCCAACTGCTCGCCTGCCTGCCTTCCTGATTGTCCCTAACTGCTTCTGCCTGCCAGCCTAATTACCCCCTAACCACTTCCCTGCCAGCCTGATTAATGCCTAACTGCTCCCCTACCAGCCTGTTTGCCCATAATTGCCCTCCCTTGCAGGCCCGGTCCCCCCCAACTGCTCTTCCCTGCAAACCTGGTTCTCTCCCAACTGCTCATCCCTGAAGGCCTGTTTGCCTCCAACTTTCCTCCTTTGCTGGCTTGGTCACCCCTAACTGCCCTCCCCTGCAAGGTTGATCGCCCCCAACTGCCCTCCTTTGCAGGCCTGGTCCCTCTCAACTGCCCTTCCCTACTGGCCATCTTGTGGTGGCCATCTTGTGTTCACATGGGGGCAGGATCTTTTACCACATGGGGCAGTCATTTTGTGTGTTGGAGTGATGGTCAATCTGCATATTAACCTTTTATTAGATAGGATAGAGGCCTGGTGCACTGGTGGGGGCTAGCTGGTTTGCCCTGAAGGGTGTCTCAGATCAGGGTGGGGGTTCCCTTGGGGCATGGGACAACCTGGGCAAGGGGCCTGTGGTGGTTTTCAAGCTGGCCATGCCCCCTGGCGACCCAAACAGAGGCCATGGTATCTGGAGTTTATCTTCTATAATTGAAACTTTGTAGCCTGGAGTGGAGCCAAGCCTTCTGCTGTGGCTTTATGGCCACAAGTGGTGGCAGCCATTTCTGGATTTATGTGTCTTCTATAATTGAAACTTTGTAGCCTTAAGCAGAGGCCTGGGCCTGCCAGGGTGTGCTGAAAGCATGGCTTCCTCCATCACTGGGAAAACCAAAGCCTCCCTCTTGCTCTCTCTGTGGCTTTAGCAATCTTGGTTGGGGTTATTTGCATATTTTCCCCTTATTGGCTGGTGAGCATAGCTTGTGGGTGTAGTGGAATGATGGTTAATTTGCATATTACTCTTTTATTAGATAGGATATGTATATATATATAAAATCACTTAAACCTACTTTTGTCACCTTGTACTTTTTAAAAAAAATTCTTACCCACAGATATGTTTTATTGGTTTTTAGAGAGAGGGAGAGAAGGAGAGAGAGAGAGAGAGAGAGAGAGAGAGAGAGAGAGAGAGAGAGAGAGAGAGAGAGATATGACAGAGGAACATCAATCAATTGCCTCCCAAATGTGCCCCGACTAGAGATTGAACCTGCAACCTAGCTACATGCCAGGACCAGGATTCGAATCCCAACCAACTGAGCCACCTGATAGGGTGCTACTCTCTATTTTTTAATGCTGGAGCTTATTCTTCCTTTGCCTTAACATATTATTCTAGGTTCAAGGGAGAAAAAATTTATTAACATTTTTATGTTGTGATGTATACAGCTATTTGGGTATGTGGTTGATGGCAATTACCACTTTGACTTTGACACTGATATTTACATTTCTACACATGTAAAATGTGAGACCCCCCACATGTGAAATTTCATGGAATTCTAAGCTATGTATTTGTAGTATGTAAACAGACAATTTTCCTGGTTAATCACAAAAAACAAATTTTCTTTAATAAATGTTTATGCTCTATACATATTAGTTTCTTAATAAGATAAAGTGTTTACTTGAGGCTGGCTCAAGTAGGATGAGGCAAAAGTAGGTTTATAGTTGTGAGTACATAAAACACAAGTTTATTCTTATATTATCATTTATTAATTATTGTATTATTAGTGAGACCATGGAAATAGATGAGATTATGCATGAAAATTCATAGGAAAGAGGTAGTCAACTAGTAGACAGTGAACCAATTTACAGGTATGTTTTATTTGGCCATCAGAGTATTTAAACAAATCTGAATCATTAGTTTCTAATATTTAAAAATTGGTGGAGTAGAAATAAAAATTTAGATTTTCAGGTTTCATAAAAAAACATTTATAATGAGACAATCCTAGTCCAGTATTCTTGCATGGTAGTGAGTAATTAACTGGAAATGAGTAACAACTATCCTTCAGTAGGTGGGTAATGTGCCATCCAGGTTAGCACAGTTTTCATTCAGCCTGTTTAATTCACTTGCAGTACCTGCTTGCTCCCCTGGGCCCTTAAATTTATGACCACATCTAATATGGGAATAGATGGCAGTCTAGGACAGAATACAAAGGAATACCAATATTTAAGATATAAAAACAAAGTCCACAAAGGAAACTATCTAGAGCCATTGGGGTGAGTCAGAGGAAAAGAAATAAATAGGGATACTTAGAATGATTGCTGGGCATTATTTAGATAGACACTTATGAATTTAAGTTTATTGATAATTCTATCTAAAGTATTTTTGTGGGATTTATAGAATCTGGAGTATACAGATGCTTTTTTCTTTTTTTAAGTCAATTTCTAATGGCCATTTTCCCCCTTTGATGAGAAAAATACCTTTGGTATTTCCTAAGTTTTATTTTTTCACAATAAATTATATTTCTTTTATACTTAGAAAAAGTCATTCCAAGTAGTGGAAATTTAATACTAGATTATTTTCTGACTTGAGTGTTTTATAGAGTCTGAGAATCTAAATGGAAGTCTTGCAAATAATCTAAGTGTTTCTTAGTGTATTTCAGTGATTTCCTTAATATGGTCAATGAAAAAGGATTCTATGAATCAGTAATTTTGAAAAATATTGAAAATTCATAATTTTTCTTTGCATACTATAACCCTAAGAATATTTCTATAGAAAAAAATAAGTTCTATAGAAGAAAATATTTATCTTTGTTTAATTCAGGGTTTCCAAGCTTTTTTTTTTTTTTTTTTTTTTTTTTTTTTTGTATGTGAAATACACTGGTATTCATTGCTCCAATCAAACCCAAGAGACTGGGGTTTGTGGCTTATTGGGTATTATTAGTTCCAAAGGGATAATTGAAGGACATTATTCTTTATCAGAGGCTTTTGTACTATAATAAAACACTGAATTTTATATGTAAACTAGGGACCCAGTGCAGAAATTTGTGCACCTTGAAAGGAATTGTGGGCCGAGAGGCTGTGGTATGCACAGAGGTGGGTCTTGGCCCATCCTTTGTGCTCCCACCCAGCCCCTACCACTGCAGCCCCTGGACTCCTGTCTGCCAGCAGACCCCTCCCACCATTGCCACTCCCACATGCTGACGGCGCCAGCTTTGCACCCGCCGATGGCACCAAGTGATTGGGGTTGGCACCAGGTGCTAGCACTGGGTGTGAGTGGTGGCTCCAGCACCAGCAGCGAGTGTGAGAGGGGTCAGCACTAGTAGCAGGTGAGTGCCGGGCAGGACTGCTGCATGCAGGAGCTAAGAATTTTCAGTAACCACCAGAGGTTCACCCCTATGTCAGCAACGGGTGTCCCGCCTAGGTCTGGTGCCCCACTCACCTGCTCCACCATCCCACCAGGGCTGATGCCAGCCATATTCCACACACTCCCCCTGGTAGTCAGCACACAGCATAGCAACCGGTTGTTCAGTTGTTTGAATTGTTCTGCCTTTCGGTCCATTTGCATATTAGCTTTTTATTATCTAGGATGATATAACTGCTAAAAGCTCTGTAAGCTTTTTATAAAGCCCTGGTTAATTTCTTTTCTTCCTGTATATATTCTAGAATGCAAATCATAACTCTTACTTAGTTATTCCAATGATAGACAACAATCATAATACATACTATTTATTTGGTACTTACTATGTTTTGACATTATAGTAGGTGCTATACATATATTCTAATTCCCACAATTATTCAGTAGGATTAGTACTACTACCTCCATTTTTAGATGAGAAAATTTAGGGTAAAACCACAAACAAAATATCTATTCCTTTCAGTCACTCTGGGGAGTCAGTATCTGGCAAACTTAGAGTCACTTAATTTGTCACTTTTCTCTGATTCCAAAGATTTCTAAAATTTAAATCTTTATTATTTTATGAAGAATCTTTGATGATTTTCATGTGTTGTTAAGAAATAAATGACTACTATGTCAGTATAATCATAATAGAATTGATCTGGCACACTTAGGTCATTGAAGAAAAGATGTGGAAAAGTGAGCAATAAATCTGCAGTCATTATCAGGTCATGTCATATTTTACCATGACGTAATCACATTCAACAATGATCTAAGTTAAAGTAGGAAATATAAAATAAAAGTGCCAGATATCAGAGTAGAATAAATTTAAAGTCATATTGACAGAGCACAGAACTCTTTAACAGTATGCTCTTAGACTCATAATGACCTGTTAATGATTACCCAAGTTCGTGGTTGGCAAACTGCGGCTCTCGAGCCACATGTGACTCGCCCCTTGAGTGTGGCTCTTCCACAAAATACCATGGCCTGGGCGAGTCTATTTTGAAGAAGTGACATTAGAAGAAGTTTAAGTTTAAAAAATTTTGGCTCTCAAAAGAAATTTCAATCGTTGTACTGTTGATATTTGGCTCTGTTGGCTAATGAGTTTGCCGACTACTGCCCTAAAAAACCAGATAAATGAGACATAAAAGTGAACTTGGTTTTCCTAGTTGGTCAGTTTTCTGTATGCTAGCTATCACTAGAAAGAGTTTTCTTATAAATCTGGACTTTATGTAGGAGATTTTATGTCAAAAATTTTTTTTAAATCGGGTATGTACTTTGCACTTTAGTTTAAGCAGGTTTATAGTATCAGCCTTGTGGCTTTGCAAGTTGATCTTTGTCTATAGAGGTAAAAGTTTAATTTCAGTCTTTCAGAGGCCCAGATTTGGCAACAAATGCTTAAAATAATACAGAATCCATTGTTATGTGGATTTATGTTCTTAAACCTGATTTTTTAAAAATATCTTGCCTCCTTTAATAGAGTAAGTAGGAGAGAGAAAAGTAATCTTAAAGTAAAACAACTCAAAAGTTAAATGAATCTAAGCTAAATTCTAGAATATTAAGAGTGTATTCCAGTATAATCTTAATTTTTTCCAGTTTCTAACAGTATGGTATTTTAATGTTTATTTTTTAATTACTGTTTTAAATTGATTTAACAGATCCACAAAGACTCATCCAGGTCCAGTTGTACATTTAAGTGATAGCCCAAGAGATGAAGGGAAAGTGAGTATTACAGTGTTTTTCTTGCATTTATTCTCCTTATTCTTAAATAAAGATATTTCATGCTATTATTTAATGTCTAACATCTCTAGCACAGTTCATGGCATTCACTGTAATTTAAAATTAAAATACATTGATTGAAATGTTTGATAAACTAAAAATGATGAAGGATTCATCAGAGAAGTGAAAAATAGAGAATAAAATAACTGATTATAAGTAGATGAAGAAAGAGTGATCTGGAAGATAGAAGAAAATATCTAAACAAAAGCATGGTGAGATAAAAGGATGAAGAGCATTTGGGACAAAGTAAAAACGAGTAACGTGTGTAATTAGAGTCACAGAAGAACAGACATAATGTGATAACAGCATATATGAAGAGTGAATGAATGATAATTTTCTAAAACTAATGACAGATATTGAAATCTAAGATGTACTACAGACATAAAGCAGGCTTTCCAAAATGTGAAGTTCACATATGCATATCAAAGACAAAGAGAAAAGTCTTAAAAGCAGTAACAGTATAGAAAAACAAAAAGGCAGTAAGACTAACAGCAGAGATCTCAACAGAAAAATTGAAAATGAGGACAATTGAGTGATAATGTCAAGGTTCTGGGGAAGAAAAAGCAACTGCTTACACAGAATTCTATACTCTACCAAAAAATTATTAAAAGCATATGATGATATTATTGCAACTTAACATAATTTGCAAGAATTCATTAATAGAAAATGTACTCTAGTGAAAAAAAAAAACTAAATGAGTTCTCTAAGAAAATAAAATTGATCCATTTTAAAAGAACAGAGAAGAGTTAAGAACAACAAACATGGATTAAATATAAGGGACTGTTTGATACAAATAATAGTAATTAATTCTGGGAGTGTAAATACAAGTTAAAAATAGTCAAAAGTTGCTATGAAATCAATGAATTCAAGTTCTAAGGTCTTTATAACTTCCAAGTAGTACAAATACTAATTTATATTTAAGTTTGATGAGTCATGGAAACATTTTGTATTCTTGTGGTAACGCTAGAAAAATAAAAATATATTTCTAATGGATAAGTTGATGGAATTGGACACTGCAATAATAAGTACTTAGAAAGGAAAAGAAATAGTAACACTAAACAGATATCATAAACATAAAACAGGTAAATTTGTTCTAAAGTATGTCAGCAATTATTTTAAATGTAAACAGATTAAATTGGCTAAAGGACAGTAATTTGCAGATGTGTCAAAACATACTGTTATAAGAGACACACTTTCAACTTAAGGATATAGAAACATTTAATGTTAAAGGATCAGAAAAGATAGCATAGAAACCCTAAGCAAAGAAAACTAGCTATACTAATATGAGTCAAAGTAAATGTCTTAATTCAGGTGTTATAACAAAAAATATGATTGATAGGATGGCTTAAAAAACAAACATTTATTTCTCATTGTTTTGGAGGCTGGAAAGTCCAATATCAAGGCACCAGCAGACCTGGTATCTGTGGAAGGCCTGGTTTCTAGATGGCCATCTTCTCACTGTGTCCTTATATGGTTAAGAAGACAAGAGAGCTGTTGAGTCTTTTTTATAAGACCACTAATCCCACTTATAAAGGTTCCACTTTCATGACCTAGGTAATAACCTCCCAAAGGCCCCACTTCTTTATCACCTTTAGAGTTAAGATTTCAAGATAAGATTTTTAAGAGGACACAAACATTTTTATAGTTCATAAAATGAGACTTAAAAGCAAGAACTTTTTCTGAAGGGAAGATTTTGTAATACTCAATTCAACAGGAGAAGTAATAACCCTCAATTTGTATACATCTAATAATATAGTTTTATATTGTATAGGCAGTACTTGCTTTGCATGGTACCATGTTAATTGAAAGATGCATAACTGTACATGTTTTAATTTTTCATGACTCCTTATTGGTATGTGTAATTTGATAGAACTAAAAAATATAAAACCAAATTGATAAAAAAAACTAAAATGAAAAATACCCAAATTTGCAAATGTAGTTGAAGATTTTAATACACCTCTCTGAGTCACTGAAAGAATTACCAAAATAATAATAATAATAATAATAATAATAATAATAATGAGGACAAAGAAAATTTGAACATGATTAATTCAACCTAATTGATGTGTGTAGTACATTATACCCAATATCTGCAAACTACACATTATTTTCTAAGTGTACCTGGAATATTTACTGAAGTTGTACATTTGTTGACCCATAAAACATGTTTTAATAAATTTCAGAGGATTAAAATAATGCACAATATATTGTGTTAACCACAGAATAATTTAGCAAGATTATCAAATATAAATAGGAAGTTTGAAATATAGTGAATTAAATTCAAAGAAAGTAAAAGATAGATAATAATAAAGATGTCATGGTTAATTTTATGTGTTAACACAATTGAGTCATGGGATAACCAGAGTTTTGGTCAAATATTATTCTGGGTATTTCTGTGATGGTATTTTTGAATGAGATTAATATTTAAATCAGTAGTCCAGTAAAACACATGGCCTCCCAAATGTGAGTGGCCTGAATAAAACAGTTGCCTGAATAAAACAGGACAGCTGGCTGACCTTCCTCTATGGGAAGAGAATTCCTCCTGCATTACTGCTTTCTAACTGGAACATCAGCTTTTTCCCTGCCTTCATACTGGATCTAAAACATCAGCTCTTCTTGGATCTCAAGCCTGCTGGCCTTCAGGTTGGAATTACACCATCAGTTCTGGTTATTAGGACTCAAATGGAACTATACTGCTGGTTTTCTGGGTCTCCAGTTTGCCAGTTCACCCTGCAGATTTTGGGACTTGTCAGCTTCAATAATCATGTGAGCCAATTCCTTATAATAATCTCTATATATACATCCTACAGGTTCTGTTTCTCTGGAGAACTCTAATACAAAATATGAGTACAGATATTAAAATAAATAGAAAAAATGTACATTAGTAACATCAAAAGTTGATTTTATGAAAATACTAATAAAATTGATGCATCTCTGACTAGCTGATGAAGAACTGAAGAAAAAAGTACAAACAACGCAACTAATTTGTGTTCATCTCAGAAACACAAAGGTGTTTTAACTTTTCATAGTCAATATCATATCCATATTAACAGAAATAAGGAGAAAATATATTACAATAAAAAGAAGCATTTGATTTCATTTAACTTCCCTTCACAATAAATAAAGTTATCTTGTAACATTAGGAAAAGAAAGTAATTAATATGAACTTCACTTATTTACCCAAAAGTATGAAAATATCCTCCTTAATGGTGAATTAATGTTTTCCTCCTGTAATAAGAACTGATAAAAGATGCTGACTATATACATCTTTTATTTAACATGGTGCAACTATCGACAATATTAGTTGTTGAAGAAGGTGAGAAGGAATTGAAGCTCTCTTATGCAGTTTTTTTTTAAATGAAAACTGGTATAATTAATTTGGAAAACTGCTTGGCACTATTAATTAAAGTTAAATATACTCTTACCCCATGAATAAATATGGATAAGTATATATTTGACAGAAATGCATATATGTGTTCACCAAAAGGCATTTATAAATTTATTCATAACAACATTTACATTACCTGTAAAATGAATACATTGTGGGGATAGTAGTTACCTTTAGACAAAGAAGATTAGGATATTGACTGGGTAAGGTTGTGAAATAGGCTTCTGAGAGTCTTGCATTGTTTTTCTTCTATTTCTTGTTTTCCCATTGTGTTTCTTGATTTGGTAGTATTTTCTTGAGTATGTTCACTTCATAATTCATTAAAGACACATCTATAACTTGTGTACTTTTCTTTGTACTTTAATAAATATATTTATTAAAATACTAGAGGCCTGGTGCATGGGTTCATGCACTGGTGTGATCCCTTGGCCTGGCCTATGCCCTCTTGCAATCCGGGACCCCTCGGGGGATGTTGGATAGCTGGATTTGGCCAGATCCCTGCAGGCCCAGTCCAGACAGGAGGGAGCCAATCCTGTGCATTGAGCATCTGTCCCCTGGTGGTTAGTGCACATCATAGCAGGCAGTTGAGCAGCCTTAGCATATCATTAGCATATTATGCTTTGATTGGTTGAATGGATGACCATTTGACCGGACATTTAGTATATTAGGCTTTTATTATATAGGATTCCTGACAAGAAATGTATAGAAATGAATTAACACATGCTTATGTACATATGTATATATATCCTATATAATAAAAGAGTAATATGCAAATTGACCATCACTCCAAGACACAAAATGGCTGCCCCCATGTGGTCAAAGATGGCTGCCCCCATGTGGACACAAGATGGCCACCACAAGATGGCCTACAGAGGAGGACAGTTGTGGGCAGTTAGGGGTGACCAGGCCAGCAGAGGAGGGCAGTTGAGGGGGGAATCCAGGCCTGCAGGGGAAGGCAGTTGGGGGGGACCAGGTCAGCAGAAGAGAACAGTTCGGGGGGGGCGGGGTACCAGGCTGGGCTGAGGGACAGCCCTCCTGTGCATGAATTTCGTGCACTGGACCTCTAGTGTTAAATATATAGAATCCAAGATCTCATTTAATGGGGGAAATACTAGAGGCATTGGCACTAAAGTCAGGAAGAAAGCAAGGATACTTTCTCTTCCTCTCCACTATTTTTAATGGATTTTTTTTGTAATGTGGTTAGATACATAGGAAAAAAGGAATAAAAATTGGAAAGAAAGAAATAAAACAGTCCCTATTTTAGGTTATATGGTAATATTCCTAGAATTCCTATGAAAATTAACATTTAAATGAATAAAAACAGTGATAGAATTTAGAGGGTAACATCCTAAATCCAACCATAGAAACAGTACCCTCTTAGAAGAGACAATTAAGAGATGATCTCATATAAAACAGCAACCAAAAATTCAAAATAATTAGATATAAAATTAACCAGAAAATCTATGCATGGAAGACTTTCCAACTTCCTAAAGATATAGAAGTGTACTTGAATAAGTGAAATGTATTCTTTGCTCTTGTTGAAAGGACTCATTATTTTTTCTTCTATTTCCTGAAATTTGGTATTTAAATGTTTTTTTCTAAAGTCAAATGATTATATCAGTAAACAATTAAAAATTGTCTCTTTATATATGTTTATAAAACATACATTTCTCTGTTGACAAATATTTACCCATGTCCCATAATTTTCATTATGAGGCACTTGTATTTAATTTCATAATGATTTCTCTTTTACCATTAATTATTTAGGAATATATTTTTTTGTTTCCAAAATGTTTTTGTCAGTGACTTTTAATTTGTTTTGATACTTTGGTATGTTTTTTTTGTTGTTGTTGCTTTTTTTGTTTTGTTTGTGTGTGTGTGTGTGTGTGCGTGTGTTTAAATCCTCACTTGAGGATATTTTTTCCATTGCTTTTTAAAATACTTTTAAAAAAATTTATTTCAGAGAAGAAGGGAAAGGGAAAGGAGAGAGAGATCGAAACATCAATGATGAGAGGGAATCATTGATGGGCTGCCTCCTGCACGCTCCCTACTGAGGATCAAGTGCAAAACCTGGGCATGTGTCCTGACTGGGAACTAAACCATGACTTCCTGGTTCATAGGTATACACTTAGCCAGTGAGCCACACCAGGCAGGGTCCATTGCTCTGACGAGAGTGGAAGGGAGGGAGGAGGGAGGAGGAGGAGAGAGAAAAACATCAATGTGAGAGAGACACGTCAATTAGTTATCTCTCTCATTCACCTGGACTGGGGCCAGTGGTCCAACCTGCAACTCAGGTATGTGCCTTTCACCAGGAATCGAACCCACGACCCTTCAGTAAGTGGGCTGATGCTGTACCCACTTGAGTCACATTGGTCAGTGCTGGTGTTTAATAATTAACATACATTTATCAGATAATCTATTTTCCTCACATAATGATCCAGGTTCTGATGATGTAGTAGTGAATAATTCATCCTACTTTTGTGCCTTTATGGTACTTACATTCTATTATGGGAGGGATATTTTTAAATTATATACGTATATATAATTACATAACATATGAATATATGTAATATTGTATAGTTTTATGTTTTGGTGTGGTCACACATGTTGCAGAGTGATCTTGCATTTGTCTTGATCCATCTTGGTCACAGAATGACCTTGTCTGATATCTCGTGGATGTCAGGGGCTGCTTTTCTCTATCTCAGTTCTCTAAATGATTCCAGTGTTTTGTGTGTGTGTGTGTTTGTTTGTTTTTTACATTTCCTGTATTATAGTATTGTATAATTATCTCAATTTATGACATTTTGAGGTTCAATATTTTATATTTTGTAACTTTTACTGAAGCTATTGCTAGTAACGTTTTACAACATCCATTTTCAGATATTTACTTTGAAAAAATATATTATTATAGCATTTTAGAATATTACAATATTTAATTAAATCTTTGGGCTCAGATTATGAAAGGTTATATTATTCACTAGACATCTGGTGCATGAAATTCATGCACTGAGGGGAGGGTCCCTCTACTCGGCCTGTGCCCTCTTGTAGTCAGGCAGTCGGATATCCTTAGCGCTGCCGTGGAGGCGGGAGAGGCTCCTGCCACCACCATTGCACTTGCCAGCCATGAGCTTGGCTTCTGACCAAGTGGCATTTCCTCTGTGGGAGTGCACTGACCACCAGGAGGCAGCTCCAGTGTTGAGTGTCTGCCCCCTGGTGGTCAGTGCACATCACAGTGACTGGTTGTCTGCTGTCAGGCTGAAACCAGCTCTCTTGACATCCCCCAAGGGTCCTGGATTATGAGAGGGAACAGGCCAGGCCCAGTGACCCCACTGGTGCACAATTGGGGCTGGAGAGGGACATGGGAGGTTGGCCAGCTGGGGAGGGACCAAAGGAGGACTCAAAGGCATGTACAGCCTATCTTGCTCAGTCCTGATCAATTGGACCCCAAGAGTCTACTACTGCCCCTTGGTAGTCAGTGCACATCATAGCAAGCGGTTTAGTGGCCTTAGCATATCATTAGCATATTACACTTTGGTTGAACGGCCTACCAGTCAATCAGACACTTATACAATATATTAGGCTTTTATTATATACTAGAGGCCCGGTGCACAAAATTCATGCACGGGGTGGGGTTGGGGGGTCCCCCCTCAGCCCAGCCTGCATCCTCTCCAATCCAGGACATCCCTCTCACAATCCAGGACCACTGGCTCCTAACTGCTCACCTGCCTACCTGCTTGATTGCCCCTAACTGCCCCCCCCACTCACTGGCTTGGTTGCCCCTAACTGTCCCCTCACCAGCCTGATTGCACCTTACTCTGCCCCCTTGCCGGCCTGGTCACCCCCAACTGCCCCCACCCCACCCCCTGCCATCCTGGTTGCCCTCACTGTGCCCCTCTGCTGGTCTGGTTGCCCTCAACTGCCCCCGCCCCCTCCCGTGGGCCTGATTGTCCCCTGCAGTCTGCTCTCAGTCATTTGCTCGCCCCTCACTGATCCCCCTGCCTGACAGGTTGCCCCACGCAGCCTGTTCGGTTGTTCGTTCGATTGCGATGGTTACTTAGGCTTTTATTATTATAGAAGATTTTTTCACTTAAGTTAGATTTTTCAAACTTTTCAGATGTACAAATTTTATTTCTATATACTCTATAGGAATTTTTCTCATATACTACATAGGAATTGGTTTTATTGTCCATCATTTTCTCTGGTATGTAAATAGAATTTATTTGAAGTTGAAACACATGTTAGTACAATATATATGATTTTATATAAATTTTATTTTAGGGCCCTGACCGGTTTAGCTCAGGGGATAGAGCGTCAGCCTGTGGACTGAAGGGTCCTAGGTTCAATTCTGGTCAAGGGCATATACCTTGGTTCCTGGCACATCCCAGTGGGGGGGGTGCAGGAGGCAGCTGATCGATGTTTCTCTCTTGTTGATGTTTTTAACATCTCTTGTCCCTCTTCCTTCCTCTCTGTAAAAAATAAATAAAATATTAAAATATATTTTAAAATTTTTATTTTAGAAAATATTCTTTAAATTTACACTTTTTTATTACGTATTTTTTATTGATTAAGGTATTACAAATATATCATTATGCCCTTGAGTTTGTAAAGAAGCTCAATTGTTTTGTCAAATCAATTTTAAAATTTATTGTATGGTTTAAAAACAAAATAAGAATATATTATAGCTTCAAAAATTAGCATACATTGCTTTCCTGACCTGATATATGAAATTTTGTTTATTTCCTGTTAAAACTACTAGCTGATTTGTTCTTTTTTGTGTAAGTGATTAAGTCTCTGGATGCTATGTGGGAGTAGCTTGTAACCAGCACTATATTTTCTGTTTTACCACCGAGTTTTGTTTTTTTGTTGAATATTGAAACATCATACTCTATAACAATTCTCATCAGAGAAATATTATTAATAGATTTCTAGAAAATTATCTTAAGGCAAATCCATGGGCTATATTATTACTTCAACACTGGCCTATTTTTATCCTTTCTATTTTTTCAATCAAGGATAGATTAAATTTAATGAAACATAAGCCCTCAGAATCATAGCAAAAATCAGCATGGCGAGGACTAGTTGAAACTTGAATATGATCTAATAATTATCTGTTCTCAGATTCTTTTACTTTAAAATTAAGAACATGTATTTTAATTGTCTTTTTATTGATTTATAAACAAATATTAATTACTTTTAATGACTTGAATCTCTAGAAGACCTTTGTGAACTTCTAAGTGTTCATAAATCTGAGTTTAAAATGCTATTATAAATCAAAGAAAAAAACTTAATATAGAGAAACTAGATTTGTGGCCACATTTTCAAGTGCATTGGACTGAATGGCATTATACATAATTTATTAAACTTCATTTCATCCTTTATTTCATCTTTATTTTTCCTATCCCTTTTTTCTTTTGCTTCAATTTCTTTATTTTTGTGTGTGTGTGTGTGTGTCATGTATTTTTACATATTTCCTCAATTTCTTTTTAGAATGAGGCAGATATAATTGGTAAATGTTTATATTGAAATAGCATATTTGCCAGTTTTTTAAAACATAGCAAGTCTATATTCAGAATCTGGAAAAATTGGTATCCTAATAAAATTGTATTATATAGGATGATTTCATTTTAATGTATTAACATTAAATTTTATGTGGAACGAGTTAAAATTAATGTTAGCATTACAAAATGATTGTTCTAATGCTTCCCAGCTGCTAATAGGTTATGAAAATGGTACTGTGGTATTCTGGGACTTGAAATCTAAAAGAGCAGAACTGAGACTTTATTATGATGAGGTAAGTGATTTCTCCTGAAATATTTGAAACCATGTTATGACTTTGTGTCTTTTTTGCTTTTAAGCTATGTATGTTACCAGTATTCTAATCATTGGGACACTGACTGATTCTGATTCAATGCCTCACACTTCCTGTTGGTATTTGCACAAGTTCCAACTCTGAGTTGTTTTTCTGAGTGGGAATTCTGCCTACTTTAGTGCCCATTATTGGGGGCCCTTTATAGCATCTTATATACTTTAGTGCCTATTATCTGTACTGTATAGCCACCTTCATCTAAAGTTCTTTTCCTTTCTTTAGGCTGTGTGTTTTTGTCTTAACTCATTATCCTTACGGTCTCTAAAGACACTATTCACACAGAAAATTATTTTTATGTGTCATCAAATTTAATTTGTTAAATTGAACGGTCTTATCTTCTAATACTTGCTGCTTTAGAATAGAGATGCCTAATAATAAGAGTCAGTAAGATCTTGAAGTTTTATTGTACGTAGTTGAGGCTGATTAGTGTTTCATTCATTTTTTAAAACATTTTATTATTTTTTTAAATTTCTTTATTTATTAAGATATCACATATTTGTCCTCATTCCCCCATTCCCATCCCCCACCCCCACCCCAGTCATGCCCCCAGCCCCCTGTTGTCCTTGACCACTGGTTAGGCTCATATGTATGCACACAAGTCCTTTGGTTGATCTCTCTCTTTTATCCCTACCCTCCCCCTGAGGTCCATGCCTCCTTGTCTCTAGGTCTGTTCTTGTTCATCAGTCTATGTTGTTCATCATTTCCCCTAGATGAGTGAAATCATGTCCTACTGGAAATATACTTACAAGAACTGAAAATGAGATAAACAATAATGATTATGCTGAAAGGCAAATGAATCAGTCTGTAGTGAGTTTCTTTCTGAGCCAACAGTTCTTTTGAGACCCAATGTCAATTTCAAACAGTTCCTTATGTGTATATGTCAGCAATGATATTTCAGTTCTGGATGGTGGACAAATGGTGGTAATTCAGGTGTAACCCTTTCTAGTTTGGTCCTGGGCAACTTACAGTGACTCATAGTTGTTGACTGCTAGTGTGGCAAGGCGTCGTCAGCCTCTTCCATCTCTGGACTGCTTCTCTTCTGTTTTCATGGCTGGAGTAGTCCTGTCAATTCTTCTCTGTTGCCAGAATCCATATGGTCTCAGAGTTGTTTTCTGAAAATATACAAACATATTCTTAACCAAAAGTTAATAAAGGAATATTTTTATAGATCCTTTTTCATTTTTTGCCCAAATGATTTTCCTCTGGCTTATTTTGATACCATGTGTGTTTTTCATGGGTGTTTTGCTATTAGCATTACATTTAATTTTCTAAAGTACAAATTTTCTAGCTGTAATTTACTTACAGGATATTTTTCCTTACATGATATTCTTCTACTTTGCCATCCCCCCTTTTTGATTTAAATATTAGGAGGCTTTTGAAAATTTTTAATGTAGTCTTGATAGCTTTTAAATTTTAATTTTTTGCACTATAATATGACTGCTTTAGGTTCATTACATGTTATACAATTTTATCATGAGATGAACTACCAATAAAAATTTTAGTTAACACTTTAGGAACAGTGTTTTGTCCAGTACAATTAATTTTTCTAGGGTATTCGCTTTGATTAGTGTTTCATTTAGAGAAAGCAATTAACTCCTATTTATAAAGGAATAGTCTCTGACTTTATACTTCATATGTTCAGAGATTGACTCTAGACCATTAATTATTTCCATCATCAGGAAAGGCTAATGTGAAGACAGTGAAGCTGGAGGCAGAGGTGAAAAAGAAAGGAGAATTACCTCTTATAGCTGTGAAAATAAAGGTTAACATCTATGCTTTCAATTAAAATTTTAAGATGGTAGAGTAGGGAGAGATAGGAGGAATATACAGGTCAACAATTGCTGGTTTCTCGCATGCTTATAGTGAAAGAGTGCAGAAGAATGTAAAATAACACTGATATAAATACAAAAATAAAATTTAAAAACATTTATAATCCTTCCTTTCTGTACACCCTCCAATCCTCTCTTAACAGTTTTTAAGTTTGATACTTAAAGATAGCCAAAGATTTACAGTGGCATGCTTGGTGAAAAATACTACAGCAAGTCATGTTATACAAATATACTCTTTATGATAAACTTTTGGGGCATCTTAAATCATAAGGAAAGAAGGATTTTCCTTATGTTAAATACACAGAATGTAAAGATAAGGATGGAGATTGTTCTTTCTTTAAAGACTAAGCTGCTAGATAAGAGTCTAAATACCATCTGGGAAGTTAGCCAGTTGGAACTAGAGTAGAGCAGCTAAAAAGGAAATCCAGAGAAAAATGCTGAATCAGATGGTTTTCCTATGGCCTTGAACAGTGTAGAAGGAATGTTTCTAACCTTAAAAAGCAAGCAAAAGTATTTACAATGACATGTTTAAATAAGGATTAACTATGTTTAAATAAGTCAGTGGACTATTGCACTCTACCTACTTTCTACTTAGAAACCATTTAAAATGTTGATTTATATGATATATGTATAATTTCCTTTGGTTTCTTACCTTTCTAGTGTCTTTTACTAATAAGATTATCATTTTAAGATATACAGTGGAACCTTGTTTCTGTGTTCTACATTTTTAAATTCTTTTTGAATTAGTTGTATTTTAGTGGAGCTTTAAAGTCCTTTTTAAGAAAAGGGTAGGGTATACAGCCTCACTCCAGATGAGGTCTGAACTTGACAGTGACCCCAGGAGACAGAGCCTGCCACATCCTCCCATGCCGGGCACTGGGCCAGGTGATTGGACTGCACATTCGGCCGTAACCAAATTCCTGCTGGCTGGAGCTGGAGGCCCTGAGCCCTGGCCCCGTCCCCACATGGGAGCCCTCCGGTCCCCTCAAACTCAGTGACTAGGCGCCCACAGCTCCTAGACTTAAAATTCTATAGAGAGATAGAGAGGAATATATTAGAGATATTTTTGGAAAGGAATTGGTCTATGCAACGTCAGTTTGGAATCTCGGAAGACAGTTTAACGTTTTTACTAGGAGATTTAAAGAAAATAAAAATCTACAATATTTTTAGGTCATTATTTTTGGTCACCCCACAAACTGACCACATGGCATGATCTGTCAGATGGAGAATGTCTGCATCCTCTTGAGGGAGGAGAGCAGGGAAATGGGGGCGTAAAGGGGGTCTTTTTTTTTTTTTTTAATTCCCTTCTTTTCTAACAGAACGTTGCCACCACCACACCCTGATTCAGTGGGCTGTGTTTGTATCTCTGTCCCAGCCTCTACCGTAGAAAATAACATTGTAAAGGGGAATCTGCCTAGTGTTAGTGTCTTGGTTTGGGGGAATAATTAAACGTTGCAATTTTTGTTTGTTATGGGAAAAAAAAAGGGGGGGGGTATAAACAAATAATTACAAATTGAATATTTATTCATTAAGTCAGTTCAAATGCCACTTCTTCAATAATGCACTCTTTGACATCCTCCTCTCTAATAACATGTCTACTCTTCTGTACAATATGTATACTTCTTTTATAGTACTTGTTTTGGTTTTGTGTTGTAGCTATTAGTAGGAAGAAGGGATGGGCCTGCGGGCACTGTCTCTGCCCCCCCAATATGTAGAAGAGCAGTCTCAGAGAACTTTAACAGAGGCTCATCCAAGTTAACATGTAGAGGTGGCAAGAAGTGACATTTCCCTTCTCTGCCTAGTAATGAAGAGCAGGGTGAGAAAAAAACAAAAGTTCACAGTTTCATGTTATCTTTTCCACTTAATCAAATCTTATCTTTTGAAGTACAGCTTATATCTTGTTTCCTTTATGATGTGTCTAATTATTACTCTAGCAGTCAGTTATCTGTAACTCTAATAATACCTACTGTTTGGAAGTTCATTTATGTCAGTCTTTCTTAGCTCACTATTCTCTAAGTTCCCTTAAGAAAAGGATCCTGTTGTATATATCTGTTCAGCTTTTATGTCTACTAGAGCGCCTACTTTATGCAAGAGACTGTGCTACCACTGGGAATAAGTGTGGGAAAATGAAGTAATACTTTTTAATTTTCTTTCATAACTACAGAGTGAATCTGTAAATAAAAACATTAATTCTTCTTACTTTAAATCAATTTAAATTTTTTATGTTAAAGGCAGTATGGTATTACAATGATTGAATATGGGTTTTTTTTATTTTTTATTTAGATAGACCTCAGCTTTGAGTTGTGTGTCCTGAGCAAGTACCTCAATCTCTCTAGGCCTATTTTCCCATGTGTAAATTTGAAAAAATAATACTTGTTTTATAGAATTAAATGAAATAATATACATAAAGTACTTCCCATTGGTCTGACTCACCATAAGAGATGGTGGCTCTTATGTAAATTGTTTTTTAAATTAGCTACTTTAAGTGGAACTAGCCCACTACCTTACCAGAAATCATCTTCAGATAACCTTTCTTTTACTTCTATATAAACAAATTTTCAAAGAAACATTATAGGATACAGGAAGGATGTAAAATTGATAACAAGTTGTGGGATCTAATGATGTTAGAAAATTTACTTAACTTTTATTTATCTCAGAGATGAGTTTTTTGTACCCTTTTATAAGCCCATAAAGGGATGAATCAAAGATAATAAAATCTGGGTCAGAAAAATTATATATGTTTATTAAGTGCTATTGCTATAATAATTTTATGTCAATAATTTTTCTTTATAATATCAACTTCTCTCACTCTACCTGTTTAATTGTTATTCCATTAGGCTATTCATTCAATTGATTGGCATCATGAGGGCAGACAGTTCATGTGCAGCCATTCAGATGGTAGCTTGACTTTGTGGAACCTGAAAAACCCAAGCCGTCCTTTCCAGATCACAATTCCACATGGTAAGATGTATGCTTTCAAAAGGAATAAATTATAGAATTTAAAGAGGTGGTATCAATGTGTTTGGTAGAAAGAAGCAATAGACATAGCTTCTGATTCTAAATACCTCTTTTACACCTCATTCAGACCCCCACATTATGCTCCAAACTTCCTATCTATCCACTTTCCTACTTAGTAAGTGATACTTATATAGACCTTTCCAACCAAAAATTGGATAATGGATGGCTGATATATATATATATGTATATATATATATATATATATATATGAAACAGAGAAGATAATAAAGGATGTTTGGCCAGTTTTTAATTGTTAAGGAGAATGGCATTACCTAGATCTGACTTTCAGACCTAATTCCTATCTGTTGTTTTCTAGTTAATACATTTATTTCCATTTCTGCCATTTGGTTCCACTAAATTATGAGGATTGTGGTATTATTATAGGTTGTATTTATTTTTATCTTCCTCATTGAAAAGCATACTTAGCATTTATGTTGGGCATGTCCACCTATCTTTGACTCAGATGACCATATTATTTTCAAGAATATTGGTGATCAGAATTCTATGTTTGCCTCTAAGTGTTGGTTGTTTCTTAGAATAGAGAGGTCAAAACCTACCATTTAATCAAATACATTCTATTTTATAGTTTCTGAGCATTTATAAAGTGTAGCATTTAGAAAGCAGTCATTTTTTAAAACAATGGATGACTTATAAATCACAATATGGAATTATTTCATCTTGTGTTAGTCTGCCATGTTTTGTACCACAGCTGCCTGTTCCATCTGCAGATGATTAATACATTTAATCTGAAGTGCTTTACTTAGAGATTACTTTAAATTTAGACACTTACATGAGATGCTTTATTTAAAGATTGCTATGCCTGGGCTGGTTTGACTCAGCTGATAGAGTGTCAGTCAGCCTGTGGACTGAAGGTTCGATTCTGGTCATGAATCGTTACATGCCTGGGTTACAGGCTCAATCCCCAGTACAGGGCATGCAGGATGCAGCCAATCAATGATTCTCTCTCATCATTGATGGTTCTATCTCTTTTGCCCTCTCATTTTCTTTCTGAAATCAATAAAAATTAAAATTAAAAGATTGCTGTTATGGAAACTTTGGATACGTATTTGCTATACATCTACTCAGGTTTAATTATTTGTTTCTGTGATAGGTTCTCCTCCCCATCAACTCTCCCGACCATTTTAAGTTTTATTTGCAAATTTGTAAATGGCTTATTCATACATTTTCTATTTACTTACATTCTCACCAGTCAATTTTGATACAAATTCTTTTTGGTTTGACTGGGTAACTGATACTTTAATATATTTTACCATATCTTTACTTATTTTATCAGTTTGGGTTTTTCTATCATTCTGTTTTTAAATGAAGTTCTGTTCACAAGTTGTTGGAAACATTAACATCTGCATCTCTCATAACATATGCAATTAAATTCCCGCTGCCTCACTATAACATAGTGAAGCCAGTGTCAGTGATTTCAACAATAGAGGCCTCCATCGTCATATCTATCTATATTCTTTGGATTCAGTTTGTTTCCTTCTGGTTCAGCTATTTTTACTTTCTAAAGTAAAAAATTTTCTCTAAGTACTACTTCAACTGTATTCTATAAATTTTATATGTAATTTCATTAATAATATATAATTTTTGTTAATATTCAGTTTGAAGTATTTTCTACTCCCTATTATAATTCTCCTTTTTACCTATGATTTAGACATGTGATTTGCCTATGGTACCTCATATTGTCATTTTTATATTTGTTTTGATTAATTTAGTAAAATTTATTTCTTTGTACCCTAACAATTAGTACAGTACTCTGAGCGTAAGGAGTATCAATAAATGCAATTTTTTATTATGGTGTTTTATACAACATGACATTTAAGCTACTTCAATTACTGACAGGCAATAAATATAATTAAAGCAGAAATCCTTCACCCAAAAAATAATTTTGGAGTTGGAAATTGAAGTAAAACATTAATTAATTGGATGTCTTTTCTATTAAAATTGGTGCATAATACTGATGTGTATTGTTGAAAAATAGTTATTGCTTCCAGATATATAAACAACTATAAAATATACTGTTGTGGTTAATTAACAGCTTGGTGATTATTAGAGAAGCACTGGCTAAAAAAGACATCACTGTGTAAAGAATGGATCTCTTTCCTGGCTCTTACTTCCTTCAGTTCTCTTATTCCACTCATTACTCAAACCAGTAACCACTAACCAGATGTTCCTCTCTGTGCAAGGCCACTGTTCAGTGTGAGTCTTGAGCCAGAGGTGTCTCTTTGTAAGGCACTATGATTTATATATTATGCCAGCAATTACTTTTTATATATAATCTTTTTTCTAAAGGAGAATGATTATGACCAATATTTTATTATTAGTTGCCTCCTTACTGACATAGGGTAAAAGAAAAAGCAAGTCTAGAAAATATGCCATGGAACAGATACAGCATGTTTTATGCTAATGCCCTACCCTTTAAACATATTAAATATAACTATATTGACATCCTATTTGGATTTGGTTGTGCCATTCTAAAGCTATCCTGAAAACTTAAACATATATGCATGTAAACACCTGCTTATAATAGGTACCTGTGTCTATAAACAACTGTGGCAATACAAGAATAAATAATGGTACTTAAAATAAAAATGTATAAATCATCTAAAAATGTCAACTTTATTAAAATGAGACAGAATATAAACAAAAATGTAAGTAGAAAAATAAGTAGTTAAGCAGAAGTAGTCCTAACTGGTTTGGCTCAGTGGACAGAGTGTTGGCCTGTGGACTGAAGGGTCCTGAGTTTGATTCTGGTCAAAGGCACATATCTTGTACATCCCCAGTAGGAGTAATGCAGGAGTTAGCCAGTCACTGATTCTCTCTCATCATTAATGTTTCTAGCTCTCTCTCTCCCTCTCCTTTTCTCTCTGAAATCAATAAAAATATATTTTAAAAAATAAATGCAGAAGTAGCTTTGTTTCCATTTCATACTTTTTGACTCTATTCAAAATCTAAACAACATAATCTTTCCCCTACAAGAAACTGCTATTTTGTTGTATGCAAACAGAATACATCATTAAATTTACTTTTTAAAATCATGAAACATACTATCTGTGTTTATCATCTAATGAACCTCCTTTAAATGAAGTTAATGAAAATGCAATGATATTGATAGTCTGTAAACTTTGAATAGCATGTTTTTTTTCATATGAATGGGGTTTGCTTGTATTATAGATAAAATGGATCTTCATAATAATACATTTCATTTTGTGCATAAATATATATGTGTGCTTTCAATTTAAAGATTGTTTATTTTATCTTGAAACTTAATTAGCTCTGGCTGGTGTGGCTCAGTTGTTTGGAGTGTTGTCTGATACATCAAAAGGCTACAGATTCAATTCCCAGTTAGGGCACATACCTGGGTTGCAGATTTGATCTCAGGTCAGGGCATGTGTAGTAGGTGACCAATCAGTGTTTCACTTTCACATCAATATTTCCTCTCTCCTCGCTCCCTCTCCCTTCCTTGCTCTTTAAAATCAATAAAATCATATCCTTGATTGAGGATTTTTTAAAAACAAACTTAAATAATTAAAATAACCTTACATAAGACTATACTTATACATGTAGAATGTAAAACAATATAAATTTCATGAGTTTACAGATAACTTTATTGACTATATAGCAGTCAAGTATTAGGATTCAATAAATTGTTTACAAATTCAACAAAAATGTTAGGCTACATAGACATGTGTTTATTTTACTGGAAAAAAACACACATTACATTATTATTTTCTTTATATTCCTTTAGTCAAACCTTTTAATTATTATAGAATAATAAAAATTAAATCATATTTAATAAAATTCTTTTTCTTTCTTTAGGAAAAAGTCAAAGAGAAGGAAGAAAATCTGAATCTTGTAAGCCAATACTTAAAGTAGAATACAAGACCTGTAGAAACAGGTATGTGCTTTTACTTTGGGGAATATGGGAAAATATGCAATAAACAGAGACAAGAAAGGCAGATAAGTTTTAACGTTGGTGTATTGTTTAAAGTTTTTCATAATTATATTACCTGGCGGAATACTTTAAATTAACAATAACAGATTTCTTATTGTTTAATAAGCATATATATGTTGAGCATTATTATGAATACTAGTGATCTGGTGCATGGATGTGTGAACATTGAAAGGAAATTCATTAGAAAGTGGCCAGCGGGGTGGGGCTGGGTGAGACGGGCTAAACATGCACCGGAGCCAACCTCCCGAGGCCCCTTCCCAGCGGCCCCACCTGGGGTGGCACTGGGCTTAAACGGGGTCGGCAGAGTGAGTGGGGTCCCTCCAGCAGGTGTGGTCCCTCAGCCTGGCCCGGGGCGATCAGGCCGAAATGGGCTCTTCAACATCCCCTGAGGGGTCCTGAAGTGTGAGAGGGACTCTGCAAAGTTGCTGTCATACTGGGTGTAGAATGCAAATGAAAGTGTGCAATAAACCAGATTCAGGGCCAACAGTGCCCCAGCAACAACAGAACCCACAGACAAAGGTGGAATCGTGTGGCCCTATGAGAAATCAGATTTCCTCCTCTCTGGTTTCAGGGTGCGTCACCTGAGAACTGCCGCTGCCAAGTCACTGCAGCTCAGCAGCTCCTGTGTTGAGTGTCTGCCCCCTGATGGTCAATGTGCATCATAGTGACCAGTCAGACAGAGGGAGGGACACTTAGCATATTAGCTATATATGTGTATGTATGTGTGTGTGTGTGTGTGTGTGTGTGTGTGTGTGTGTGTATATATGTTACAAATAATAACTTAATTATTTTAACTTTTTATGAATAGTCAGATTAGTATTATATACATTAATTTTAACAATGTAGGGCTTTTGGCTATGTACATTACAAGTAGCAGTCATTTACCATTATTAAGAAGAGCTATTTACCTATTGGTAATGCATATGAAAAAAGTAAATACATAACCAAGCCTCTGTACTTTAGGTTTCTATACTCTGAAATTAGAAAGATTATTGTTTGTTTAAAAGATAAGCAGTAATGTTCATTAGCATAATAAAATAGTATTGAATTTTAATATATAGAAAATTAAAGAATTCTTAAAATTCTCTTCTGTATATATAGCAGCCATATCCTATACATCAACAATCTTTTTACTTGCGATAATTTTTAGTGGCAATATATTCACCCAGAATTACCACAATTTCAACTCTTGCTTAAACTTTAATTTTATTTTTACTCTGAATTGGATAATCCTATTTTGTATTACTTATATGCTCATACTAGAATGTTTTCTTGGCATCATAGGTACATTTAATGTTTGTTTATACCTACTATTATAAAGACCTAATAATATAAAAATTGTTATAATTTTAACCAGTTAGCTTATGTATATATATTTTATTTATATGTATAAAGCTTCTATAAAACATCTATAAAAGGGTAATATGCAAATTGGTTATGACACCCTCACAGTAACAACCAAACAGCAGGCATGGGTTAGTGAGGGACAACCAAACGACTGACCAGCAGGTTGTGTGGAGCGACTAGGCCAGCAGGGGGGGCAGTGAGGGGCAACCAGGGCGGTGGTGGGGCAGTTGGGGGCCCCCGCTGGCACCTGCCTTGGCTAGCTGGCACCACCTGCTCACTGGCCCTGCCCCTGCGCAATCGGAGGAGCCCCGCTGGCACCCACCATGCCTGGACTGGGGCCTGTGGGCTGTGGGCAGCTCCTGCATTGAGTGTCTGCCCCCTGGTGGTCAGTGCACATCATAACAACTGATTGTTCCACCAAGAGTTCAGTGGTTTGGTCAATTTGCATAATAGGCTTTTATTATATAGGATGTGCATGGTAATCATTCAGTAAATTGTAGCTATTTATTACTACAAGCACTACAGACTACTGTTTAAAAGAGCAGGTTTAGAAGTCTGACAGACCTCAGTTTTCTTTTGGTTTTTTTTGCTTAGTTATTTAACCTCATTAATAAAATGAGGGTAATACTTACGAGGATTTACTGCAATAATTAAGTTTCTAATGCAATTAACTATGAATGGTTCCCTGAGCATTTTCCTGAGTAAATAACTTTTTATTCAATCATTCAGTAGTTTACAAAGAAGTACATGTATAATTAAGTTTATACCCAATATTTTCTGATGCAGAGTCATAATGAGAGCAAAAATGATTTCAATATTGAAAAGACAGGGGAGGTGGCTGAGGTTGAGGAGGGTATAGGGAACAAAATGGTGATGAGAAAATAAATAAATACAGGGGTTTTTTTTTAGAAGAAAGGACATATTTTGCAATGTGCTTACAAAAAAGAGGGAGAGTGAATTGCTTCTGACCTATGTTTAGATTAGTACTAGGAGATGAGAGTAAATTCACTTTTACATGGAAATAAGTAGATAGTTATGGCCTTTATCAATATTTGGAACAGATATTAAGGTCAATATGTTTGAAAAGGTACTATGTTCTCCAAGTCATGATCCTGATGTGAAACAAAGCAACCAACAAACAAAAATACAGAAACCCATACTCATTTCATTAGAAATTATTTTTAAATCTGGAGAAATCTTCTCAATAATATATGTGTAATTTATAGAAAGAACAAAAACGTTTCTTACTACCATTATTAGTAGGTGAGTAATTTACTATGTCAAATTACTGGGGAAAGACTAACTCAAGCCAATTGATGCAAGGACTCTAGGAAAATAAATTAGAGCATTATTGCTTGTGTAGCTTACAACTCAAATATTTTTGTCAAAATATTGACAGAATTATAATAAAAATTAGTACAGGTATTGTATATATAGACTTTGATGGCAATTTTTTAAAGGTTTTTTGTTGTTGTTGTATACAGTCAGCATAAAATTAGCAAATGTTCTATTGATAATGTATGATACTATGTACAGTACAAACCAGAAGAGAAAGGGAAGTTTTATAAAGTGATTTCTAGAAATAAGTAGTTCCTTTAGTTTATTGGATGGATCGAAGTGAATTATTTAGAGAAGCATGTATTCTCAAAGAACTTAGTACATTAAAAGTACTTACTAGCTCTTTTTTTAAAAAAATTTTAACAAGAGTATTTTCTGTTTGATATTTACTTATTGAAAATACTTCATATCATCACTTATTTTCTTTTATATACATATATTAGATATATAGGTATTGGAGAAGACTGAAAAATTTTGAAGCTATTTAATAACTTTCTAATAGCTATGATATCTTATAGTCATCTCATTCCCACTCTATTATCTAACTGTATCTTGCAATTAACAGAGAATTAAAAAATTGTTTGACTTTAATTTTATAAGATAAATAGAACTGGCTGGCACTAAGTAAATTTGATAATAAGATCACAAATTTTTTGGTGAATTATTTTTCCCTTATACATTAGTTTTCTCCATCTGTTTGTCTTAACTTTTTTCCACAGAAACTCCATTGCATAGAATTTTCATGTTTCCTCCTACCATTTTGGGTTTGCCACTGTCACATTTTATTTCATATTGAAACTTGCCCCCTTTTTTTTATTTTTGAGATTTGGGACCCAACATGCAAACTGGTTAATGTGGGGGGAAAAACACAGACACACAAAAAAAAACCTAACATAGCCTATATTTAGAGATTTAAAGTTTTGGAACCAACTAATACTATAGGTGTGGATGTCTTTTTGAGTCAGTGACCCCTTCACCTCCCTCCTACCTCATTGCCTTTCCCTATCCCCCACCTCAACATCTTAAGACTGATTCATTAATCATTTTAATGGTGAAAATACATGTTCATTAAAAGGAAAATAGAAACATAGTAAATTGTTGGGTGATATATTTTGGGACAAGAAAGACTTTGTTCTCCTGTGTAATTACATTTCAGTTCCTACAGAGTACTGCTTGTAGGAATTGAAAGAGGAAAATGCACTGAATTTGGTCAAGTTTATTGGCTCAATCCTGTGACATTGTGTCATCTAAAATGACTTTTCAGTCTTATTAACTTTTTTTTCCTATATAGCGAACCATTTATAATATTTTCTGGTGGACTGTCCTATGACAAAGCTTGCAGAAGACCAAGTTTAACCATCATGCATGGAAAAGCAATTACAGTACTTGAAATGGATCATCCTATTGTTGAATTTCTAACTTTATGTGAAACACCCTATCCTAATGGTAAGTAACTAAAATGGAACTATTTATGTTGAAAAATAATTTTTTGAAATAAGTTCCTAACAAAATTAAGCTTAAATATTTTTAGTTTTAACAGCTGTCACCTACTGTGGTACAACACTGTGAGCAACAGGGGCTGGCGCAGGTTCTGCAACTGTACCTACTTGACGAACTGGAAGTAAAACAGATGTAGTGCAGCAGTGCTGGAGTTTCAGGTTCAATATCAGGTAAGTGCTTTAAACTTTGATAAGGATGGTGGAAGCTGAGCTGGGAGGGTTCTATAGGGGTCCAGGGTGAAATCACTTGGGGAAATTGAGGTCTCCTAATAGCCTCTCCTAGACCAGCTCCACCCATCCCATTCTAAAGCCAATCAAAGTTAAAGCACTTACCTAATATCAGTGATCTGTAACTCTGGTGGTGCTGCATCTGTTTCACATCTGGCTTTGCTTCAGATGCAACTGCAGCACCTCTGATTACTCTGGGATTGCTGATGTGTGGTTAGTGATTTATTTCAATTTTGAGAATAATTTTCTGAAGGATCTGCAGGAGGAGAGGTGCTTACATATTTTTATCAGCCCAAATTTAAAGACTTCTTGTAAACATAAAAAATAATCTAAACTATATGTAAATTACATAATGGAATCTAATAATAATAATATTGATAATTAAATATTTTAACAATGAAATCTAAACATTTAAAATGGTGAAACATAAAAAAGGAACTATGAGTTTATGATTAAAACATAGTGTATATATACATTCCCACATATAAATATTCCCACACTGGACTTGGAGACTTAGACTTGCAGAATATTTGGGTTTGTGATTTTACCTCTGCCATTTCCTAGCTACGTGACCTTGGATAAGTAATCACTTTATGTTTGAGTTTCATTTATCATTGGTAGAAAGAAAATAATAATACTGATTCCAAATGATTATTGAAAGGCTAAAGTGAATGTGCTTTATAAACTAAGAAGATAAGTTGTGGGTTTTATTATTCATATTAATTTGTTTTATTCTTTGGTTTCATGTTTTTTAAAATGGGTTAAGTAGATAGGAGATGACAATCAAAGTGGCACTTTATTTCTAGAATTCCTGGGGATAGATAAATTACCTGTGTTAACAATTATTTATGGGATGCTTCTATGGCCTTAATACTGTAAGAACTTGTTGAGAATACTGATGAAGTATGAAACTGATCTCTGGTGTCAAATTATATAAAATATGGTCAGATGAGGGAGATAATTATGACAAGTTTAAAAAATATGACATCTTAAGTTTTTAAATTATACTAATTTCAAGCTAGTCAAGTAGTCGGTAACTGAACTATTCATGCAAAGGTTTATGGGAAGAGGATTTAGATAGGCTTGAAGAATGACTTGAATCTTAAAAAAGGATATTGAGTAAATGTTTTAGAAATTGTGAGATAAGCATGAGGTCAGTTTAGACAAATAACTGAAAGCCTTTGGAGGTATTTGAAAATAGGGAGTTACAGAGGAATTGTGAGGAAATACTAAAATGAAAGAAAGCAGTGTTTTTAGTATGATTTATCCAAAAGGAGTTTGTGGGTTTGAAGAAAGACAGACACTAAAATCTAAAAAATTCCAGATTTCAGCTGGGAAGCTTTTGTGATATGTGCTTTAAAATGGTCAAGATATAAAACAGAGTACTGCCTGTAGGAATTGAAAGAGGAAAATGCACTGAATTTGGTCAACAATTAAATTAGGAGTGACATGGTAGATGAGTCAAAGATAACAAATTTTAAGAATAGTGGTTACATATTAGTAATAGTTTTTTGAAGGAGAGAAAGAAAGTCTAATTATGGAGTTATTTAGAGAATAGGAAATACCTGTAATATTTATTTATGAACATCAGAATATAGATGTTCTTTGAAGTTATGAGAATGAATGATAAAGAAAGAAAGGAAGAAAGAACAGAGGACCAAAAACTGAGTTTATGAAAATTCCTCCCCATTAAAGAGCTTAGAGAAAGAAGATGTTTATGCCAGTAATAAAAACTCAAAATGTGTGCTTACAAAAATCAAACACTATGTGTGTGTTTATATATAAATTTCTATACATCAGTAGAAATTTTAGGACAATTTCTAGAAATATTAAATAAATTATAAATATTTTGTAACCAAGTCTAATCAACTTCTAAGTCACATATATATCTGCTTTTTAGAGAATTGGTAATGCGGATGGAGCTTTTTTGGGGTCAAGGTTAGAAGAAATAGTTTAACTTTTTTCAGTAAAATATAAATGTACTTTATTAACTATTTCTAATTAAAATAATACATGAAAGTGTTAGAAAAATACCCTTCAATACATAACAATATATAATGAAAATTTTCTCTCTCTACCCTTTCAGAGGCAATCACTATTACTAAAATTCTTATGTAGTCTCCTAAAAATAATCTGTGCTTTTCAACAGATCGTTTTCCTAAAGAGGCGAGAGAAGAAAAAGAAGAAACTAGTAGCATAAAATTTCAATGTTCTTCCCATTGAAAAACAAAACAAAAAATAAAAACAACCCAGAAGTATTGAAACAATGTTGAAAAACAATTTTTCAGAAATAAGACAGAAGGGGAAAAGAGCCTTAGTTTGAGAACAGTTTGAGTAGCAAGTAGTGTGCCTGCCTACTGCCACATAGATAGGCACCAACAATTGGCACTCTCCTTCTGAGTTTTAGGGGTTTTGGTTTAGTTTTTCTCTTACAGCATATGATCTATGAATAGTTTCTATAGCTTCTCAGGATTGGAAGGACCGTGAAAGCCATCTATTCCAGTTTCCCATCCAAGACTAGAAATACTGTGGACAAAACTATTGCCATGTGATTGTTCAATTTAGGATTAAATACTAAACTGGCCAGTAGAAACTGCTGGTATAATGAAAGCAGGATGGGATTTAGAGTCAGGAATTCTGGGTTAAAATTTCAGCTCTCTCACTAGCTTTGTAAACTTGTGCCAATCTTGTAACCATTTTGGACCTCAATTTTCCCTATGAAATAGGAAAATATTGATATCTGCTCTAGCTACTGAGAATCAAATAACATGTATGTAAAATGTTTTTGTAAAAACCTGTTCTTTCAATTTAGAATAACCCTTTAATTGTGGCTGCCCCTTATTCTTTATTATAGATGAAAAGCAATGTCTTCCCTGACCACTACAACTAAATTAGTGCTCTCACTCCAACCACAGTAATTTCTTATATCATTGTCCATGTTATTTTTCTTATAGATCACATTACTTGTTCATGGTTTGTATACATCCCTAGAGTGTAAACTCCATGAGAACATGGACCTTGTCAACTTTATTCTCCATATATCCTTTGTTCTTACAAAGTTTCTAGAACATATTGAAGAAAGGAAGGGATGAATAGAGAAAGAACAAGTTGAATTTTAAGAACTTGAAAAATCCTAGACTATCCTTAGATTCTCTGCTTTTTTGAGGTGTATACCATTTGGCACATAGTAGGCAATCTTTAAAACCATGTTAAATCACACTGAATAGAAAGTAAATTTTTTAGTATTAGTGTTGGTCTCATAGGGAAATAAATATGTATCATAGATCAGTAAAAGCAGAACTACTATTTCTTTAGTATATCTCCTTGCAGGCAGGAAATTAAATCAAATGTAAGGTTATAGAAGAATAAGTGTTTATGAGAGGGAGATGACAGACTCGCTCTACTCAAATAATCTCTCTCCACCTTATTATTTTGAGATATATTTAACTCTATGATATGCAACTTCTCATTTTTTTTCTTGTTCCCTGTAATGGTCATAAACATTAAATTTAAGAAATACAACCTATATGTTTTTTAATGTACTCTTCATACTTCTTACTTGAGCTCATATTTTGGTCTTCTCAAATCATTTAAATAACATTTGTACAGCAGATAAAGGAAGTGTAAGTTTGGTGATTTTATAGAATGTGAAATATGAAAACTTTTTCTTCTTCTTTTTTTTAACTTATAGAATTTCAAGAACCCTATGCAGTCGTAGTACTTCTGGAGAAAGATCTCATTGTAGTTGATTTGACACAAAGCAAGTAAGTTATGCATGTTGAGAATACCACTGGCTATTTTAAATCTGTTCATTACAGTTAGAATACTGGAGGACATTATAAATAATTGACATTAGTATTTTTAGATGGCAAATATTCTTTTATGTGGACTATTGTTTTGCTAGAATTACAGAAGTGTAATTAAGTTCAATAATGAAAACTAAACTGGAAAAGTGAAGAGAACATCAAAGAGATTTTAAAGGCAGCACCTAATGCTTAGAGAATAAGAACAAACAAAATGGATCACATTCCTGCTATTTCCCTAAGCAAAAGCAGCTGTTATGAAAAAAAAAAAAATGTACAGTGTACTATGTGGCCATCTGATAGTCTAAAGGAAAATGGTACGTGATAAAAGTATTATTGGACTACTTTATCAGTCAATACAAAAGAGTAGGATAGGATGTTGGAGGCAGATAAGATGGAGGTCCTCTTTTACTTTTTAAAAAATTTCTCATGTTGTTGTGGGCAACGGGAACAAATAGAAAATATTGCTGTAAGAGTGGTGCTGTCCACTCCTTTACATGGACAATAAAACATACACTTGAAATTGATAAACTCTGTCTTCCTTGCTATGTATACTCATTGTAAATGATGATAGGTATAAAACTGATTTTCCCTCATTCTGTGCTCTGGACCCGCAAATCTTTAGTTAGCTGCTGCTGCTTTTTTCCCCCTTCTTATTTATTGATTAAGTTATTACATATGTGTCTTTATCCCCCCATGTTTAATTTTGTTTGTTATTGTTAATCCTCACTGAGGATATTTTTCCATTGATTTCTTTTTTTAAAGAGAGAGTGAAAGGTAAGGAGACAGAGAAACATCAACATGAGAGACATATTGAGAGGTTGCCTCCCACACCCACCCAGATCAGGGCCAGGGATCAAGGATCCAGACTGTAGCTAAGGTACATGTCCTTGACCAGAATCAAATCCAGGAGCCTTCAGTCTGAAGGTCTAAATTCTATCCACTGAGCCAAACCAGCAAGGGCTTCATTTAGCTTCTTATATGTGCAGAACTTTTGTATATTTCTCACTCCTCTGCATGGAATAATCTCTTATTCTCATTATTAATGTCTTATTTATAAGTCTCAAATCAGATATCATTTTCTCAGTAAAAAAAATCTCTTTATCTATATAATTTGGTCAAGTATCCTATTAAGGAGTTTCATAGTTCCCATATTTATCTTCTTCATAGCTCTTGCCAAAGATTAAATTTTCCATTTCTTATTAGTTTAAAGACTGTCTCCTGCCAGACGTTGGGCTTCAAAGTGAAGACGGGGCTTTGTCTCCACATGGAGTATGACAAAGGCAAATGAGACGTCTCTAATATCTTAGCAACATTTACATGGAAATAAAATTTAAATGCAGTCAACTCTGCTTTTGAGGAGGTTTTGGTTAAGCTCCCAAATCTCAATAGCTTGATGCAGTCTCTTATGAGAACACTCAGAAGGTATCTTCTTAAACAACAAACCCATTTTTACTGGTGGAGCCCTCTTAATAACTGTGACTTCATGGGACCGATAACCAATCACATCTTTCTTACTCTCCCTACATGTGTAACAGTTTCTCTGTTTTCACATTTAGTAGTCCATATTTCTGTTTTATCACTGTTAGCTCTAACATTAATAACAGCTCCATATACATCATCACTGTAGTCATCAAAAGATTCTCCAATAAAGCACAGCAGTATCTCTAGCATTTGAGGTCATTTGTCTCTGCTGTTTGTTTCATGCACTTAGCCATCATCCTTCGTGTTTGTTTTTCTCATCTTCCCTTATAGTCTCAATATCATCCTTAAAGGTCAGTAGCCACAGGCAAGCCTTAAATTACTAGACAACTGAATATGATTATACAGAGCTTAGAAGTCTTTAACAATAACAAACTAAGAAATCAGCCAAAGGTTTACTTGCCAAATTTTGCTTTTATCATTTTTTAAAAATTAGAGCACCCATCTGTTCTATAAAGGATGTTTACTATAGTGTTCTGGATTAGCAACCTCCTGCTTAGATTCTGTAGGCAGGGGGTTGGGAGTTGGGTGGTTTCCAATTCCATAGTAGGCATCTTAGGTCAATCTCTGTTTTAAAATTTATGTGATAAGAGACACATAACAAAAGTTACCATTTTTATACATTTATTTTTATGCTTTTCGTTAACTTTTACATGTATGTGAACTTATATTTTGTTTGCAAGTTTTTATTTAAGATTTCATCTTTTTCAGCACTATGTTTTAAAATCTATGTGAGATTTCCATTTCATTGTCTATTACAAGAATTTTAACATAAAAAATTTAATATATTCTTTTCCCTTCAAAATTCTTAGCTTTCAGCCATGTTTAATGTTAACATTAATTTTCAGATTTGGACTCTTTCTATTTTTAAAAATAACTTTTTATTTTTCAATTACAGTTGACATAGAATACTAGTCTCATGTGTATGACATAGTGATTAGACATTTATATAACTTACTAGGTGATTGTCCTGATAAATCTAGTACACATCTGACATCATATGTAGTTATTAAAATATTATTTGCTTATATTTCTTATACTACTAGGTGTACCAGTAAATAATGCAGATTTTTTTAGTAGACAGAGTTACACATATGTTGATATATATGCAATTTGATATGTATGCTATTTTGTTGTATTGACAGCAAGCTTCAAAACTTCATATGTCAAATTTTCTGAATGTGTTAACATCATATATATTTTTATGTTTAAAACATCAAATTTCATGCAAAAAAAGAGCATTTGCAGGAAGTTTCAATTCATTACTTTATTTTGAAGAAAAGATCAGCTCATTGTATACTTTAGGAAGCTTATGGTGAACATGCTTCATCTCAAGATACTTTGTGAACACTGGTTTAAATGCTTTAAAAGTATTGATTTCAATGTGAAAGACAAAGAATGTCCAAGTCAACCAAAAAAGTTTGAAGACCAACAATTACAAGCATTATTGGATGAAGATTCATGTCAAACTCAAAAACAACTTGCAGAAAGATTAAACGTTGCTTAGCAAACAATTTCTGATCATTTTCAAGCAATGAGAAAGATTTTAAAGGAAGAAAAATGAGTACCACATCAATTGAACAAAAACAAATGGAAAAACAAAAAGTCATCAGTAAAATGTTGCTTCAATGGCATGAAAGAAAGTCTTTTTTGCTTTGAATTGTGACTGGTGTAGCAAAGTAGATTTATTTTGAGAATCCCAAATGCACAAAATCATGGGTTGATCCAGGTCAACCATCAACATCGACTGCAAGGCCAAATTGCTTCGGAAAGAAGACAATGTTCTATGATTGGTGGGATCAGGAAGGTATGGTGTATTATGAGCTTCTATAACCTGGTCACTGATCACTACCAACAACAAATAATCAATTTGAACCACGATTTGGTTGCAAAATGACCAGAATGGGCCAGAAGACATGGCAATGTAATTTTGCTTCATGATAACACACCATCACACACTTCAAAACCAGTTAAAGACATGTTAAATGGTCTTGCCTATGAAGTAATAACCACCCACCATCTTCACCAAATCTTACTCCTTTATATTACCACTTGATCCGATTGATGGCATGCGAACTTTCTGAGCAGCACTTCAAAACTTATGAAGAAGTAGAAAATTGGGTCTCTGAATGGTTTGCCTCAAAATAAGAAAAGTTCTATTGAGACAGTATCCACAAATTACCTGAAAGATGGGGGTAGTGTGTAGCTAGCAATAGACATTACTTTGAATAAAGCATTTTTGATGTTTCTCTTGAAATAATCGTGTGATTTTTTTATTACAAAATCCGCATTATTGACCGGTACACCTAGTATATTTTACATCTCCATGACTGCTTTGTAATTATCAATTTATACTGTATTAATCTCTTCTCCTTTCTCCCGAATTCCCCAACCCTCCTACTATTATATTTGGCAACCATAAAAATGTTCTCCGTAATTATAACTTTGTCAACTTGTTTTGTTTTTTATATTTCACATATAAGTGATATTATATGGCATTTAACTTTCTCTGATTTATTTCACTCAGCACAATATCCTCTAGATCTATCCATGTTGTTGCAGATGACAATATTTCATTTTTTATGACTCAGTAATATTCCATTGCATATACACTGAGTGGTCAGATTATTATGATCACTTGACATTTGTAGGCAAGTTAGCTGTACACTGCATCATATGGAATATGGAAGCTGAAGGCCTGTTTGCACACCTTTGCTGTCTGCAGTTACCAAGATAAAACGTTTTCAATTCACATGGGAACACAAGGATTGGACAGTTGAGCATTGGAAAAAAGTCATATGGTCCAATGAATCACATTTCCAGTTGCATCATGCAAATGGCAGAGTGAGAATTTTGCAGAAACAGCATGAAAGCATGCACCACACATGCATGAGTACAACCCTTCAAGCTGGTGGGGGCAGTGTTATGTTTTGGGGCATGTTTACATGGCATGATTTGGGCCCTTTAATTCATGTGGAACAATGTCTGAATAGCATAACATACCTAAGTATCGTTGCTAATCAAGTTCATCCTATCATGGTGGCATATCCCAATGGAGATGGCTTCTTCCAGCAAGACAATGCACCATGCCACTGTGCTCGTATTGTGCAGGAGTGGTTTCAAGAACATGAGGGAGACTTTACCATACTTAGGTGACCCCCACAATCACCATATCTCAATCTAATTAAGCATTTGTGGGACGAAGTAAAAGAGCCATCAGGCAGCTTGTTCCACAACCATCAAATTTCACAGAACTGGATAGTGCTAACAGGCATGGTGTCAGATTCCTCGCATCACCTTTCAGCATCTTGTGAAGTCAACGCCAATAAGAATTGCCACAGTATTGAAGGCAAAAGGTGGCCCAACAAAATACTGATGGGATAGTCATAATAATCTGGCCACTCAGTGCATATGTACCACAACTTCTTTATCCATTCATCTCTTGATGGACACTTAGATTGCTTCCATATCTTGTATAT